ATTGGTTTGGTCCACATTTAACACCCACACACCATTTCCTGTCCTCGTGCCACATGTCCAGGCCTGTGTCCAGCCCCACACTGGTGCTCTGCAGTGCAAATCTCCAGGAAGGGTGAGCTGGTCAGATCTCAGATGTTAGAGCTCAGGCAGCTCACCAGATGGAGGATGCTTTATGAATGCAGCAAGAGACGTAAACAGAGCCAAAGACTATGATTTCTTGAGTCTCATCTGATTTTAACTATCACAGTGAGCCCAGGGTTACCTTGAAGTGAGCCTCAAACAGATCTAGTGAAGGCAATGAGATTATTCCAGAAATATATTCACTCTACACTTTCATCTGTATTTCAAAGGAGCTACAGCTAAATACACAGGCTATAGAAAACCAGGCATTCCTACACAAGTGTGTGATTTTCTTCAGATCCACAAGAAAATGTGTTGAACTGCATTTTTGCTGTCCGTGAATTTGGATCTAAAATGTTCTGAAACCACAACCAAGAGCTAATCCTGCCCTGTCCTGCACTGTGACATGCTAGTACAAGGACAGAGAGGCAGCTGGGAAATGTTACATATTTGTGACTTGCCAGAAATTAAAAAAGGCTCTAGCAGCACCAACCTGGAGGGAAAAGCCCACGTAGGACAGACTTGTACTGAATCCAGGTAGGAGGTGCTTCCCCCACACCAGGGATGGAGGCAGCAGCATGGTGCAGCAGGGATGGAGGCAGCAGTGTGGTGCAGCAGGGATGGAGGCAGCAGCATGGGGCAGCAGGCTGCTGCCTCGGGCTGCACAGACGTCATTTGCAGTTCTCTGGGAACTCCCACAAAAACAAGCATGTTGACTGTTCTCAGAGTCCTGATGGCACCTGAGGCCAGGACTGCTGACCCGTTCATGCTGTCCATCCTCACGCTCTGACTGGCACTGTAACTCTGTCTCCTTCTCAGCCATTCCAAAGCAGCACTTCCAGGGGGCTGAAATGCCTCCTTCTGTACAAGGACATTTCAGGTGACTGACTCCATTGGTCCTGAGGTTTAACTCATAAAGCCTCCACAAACCACCCCAAACAAACAAGTGAAGGTAACAGTTCCTCTCCTAACTAAGTAGGTGCAGGATGTCTGGAACCAAGGACACTTGTTTTTTCCACCAGGCACTCCAGACTCTCCACTGGCAGGACCCTGAACACCCTGACAGCTTCATCCTTCCCATCAGCCTCCAAGGCACAATGGGACTCAGGAACAGGGAAACACAGAGCCCAGGAAAACTGGGCAACACCCATATCACTCCTCTGAACCCAACAGAAGCTGCTGCTGTGACCTAAAGCTCCATAAGTTTTGGACGAGAGACACCAGAGAGGCCCCAGCTGCACGTCACTGATGTGGACAGGCTGTTGCTGACTGAACCAACACATCTGGAGGGACATGTGGCAGCTCACACAGACTCTGCTGTGAAGGCTGCTGCCAAGGATTTGGATTAGTCCTGATGTTTAGTTTGGATTAATTGTGATGTTTTTCAGTCCAAAGTAAAAGTTGAGATGGCCTGAAGCAAAATCCAGGCACTGAAAAAGATTAACTGTCTCACTTTAAAGGCTGTCTTTGATGTAAATTTCTTAGGATGATGTATCAAGAATATTAGATCTTCCTATCCTCCAGCTTATCCATGATGGCCTTGCATGCTTAGGGATCTCAGCACTCCTTAATGCTTTATTAAAAACGTGGGCTGCTCTGAGGAGCCCCACTTGTGCTCTTCTCCTCCTGAAGGTCAGGCCCCTCCACAGGTATGTCCCAGGAGGCACAGGCTTTGCAGCTGTGTGCCGAGGCTGACTGGAAAGGAATGTATTTCCTTGCTCAAAGGACTTCTGCAAACCCAAGTGCTGGATGGGATTTAAACAACATGCTCCTGTCACTGCAGGACAAACCAGACTAGTTCACACCAAACTCATTCTGCAGCTCTGAAATGAACTCAAACCAAGTGGTTTCTCCAGGTGAGACAGATGCAGGCGTAACTTTGCACTTCAGTATCGGAAATTCGGTGCCATCTCTAAATTTGTTTATGCCCTACCAAATTCATTAAACCAATGCAGGAAATTAATTTCTGTTCCCCTGGTAAAAATTAAGCAAGGCCTTTGAACACCTCTCACTGCTTTCATGAAACTCATTGGTGTAAACTCATGTGTGCACACTGAGTTTCTTGCTGATGAGGCTCCCTCAGCAGTTTCTGTTTCACAGACCTCACATACGACAAAGCTCAGTCCCTGGGCACAGGTGTACAACCAGTACAGCAAGGCTGACCAGTCTGATATTTTCAGCACATCTCACATTCTGTAGAATGAGCTGCTCATCCTCTGCGGCCTTATCACAGCTCTGACCTCCCAGAGTGGCTCTGCAGCCACCCACGCTGCCCAGGCACAACTTGCTAATTGTGGCTTATTTGTTCCTATGCAAAATCTGCTGGGACAGGAAGGGTGGGATGGTCCCTTGTTAACCAAACACCTCCAGCAACAAGGGTTTGCCACACAATTTCTCACTTTAAATTGTGAACTCTTTGTCAACTCTCTGTCGTGTCCTATCACCCACCAGCCTCAGTTCACAGCTCTTCTGACTAAGGCCTGCCAGTGCTGCCACAAACTGACTAATTCTTCCCCATCCGGTAACAAACTGCCAATTTGCTCCTCTCCTGACCTCTAGGTGTCAAAATAACATTATCCTTCAGCTGGAGATTCCCAAACACCATACGATATTATCTTTCTCTCATGCACATGAAAATAGTAAAACTCGAGGAAAAATTAAGTAACTAGATTAGATGTCAGGAAGAAATTGTTCCCTGTGAGGGTGGGGAGGCCCTGGCACAGGTTGTCCAGAGAAGTTGTGGCTGCCCCATCCCTGGAAGTGTCCAAGGTCAGGTTGGATGGGGCTTGGAGTAACCTGGTCTAGTCCTAATTCCAGGACAAGTTATTGGTTTTAGTAAATTAAGGGTATTGTAAATGTTCTTCAGCTGTGTGTCAATATTATAAGACAAATAATAATGACTCCAGGATAATATTAGGACCCTTTGGTCAACTGGACAATTGCTATCTCCATCATTTCACTGATAACCTGAGGAGCAAGAGTGCAGAAATATCCAGCATCCTCTGTGATCCAGCCTGCTATGGACAAATGCATTCCAAACGGACAGAGCCAGCTCCCCCAGGGCACAGCCCCTTCCAGACAAGTGGACAGCAATGCTCTTCCTCGGGTGTGCACTAAACCAGCCATGAAATCGATGCTGCCAGCTCATCAGGAACTGCTGCTGCCTGTAAACGGGGCTCACAGGGCTGCCCAACAGGCACCTGCTTTCCTCAACTGACTGCAGCTGCTCCTGGGAGCCAGTTTGATTCCTTGGCTCTGGGAAAGGGGTTCATAATGGACACAAAAATGCAGCTTTGGTTTGGTCTTGAAGACTGGCATATTTTCTTTCCTACCAAAACACGGGTAGGAGAGCAGGAGAGCTGCTGCAGGACTTGGCCACTGGCAGGAAACCGTTCTGCGAGTGGTGCCTGGACAGATTGTGAGAGCGGCAGCACAGCAGGCTGATCCCTGCTTCCCACCTTCCCACGTGAGGCCAGCTGGGAAGGTCAGAGCTGCTGCTGCTAGGCCACACATACGGAATCCATTTAAGTGTCTGGCAAACACCTTCACCAAAATATGCTGAAAATTCTGCTATTGAAAGTAGCTCAGCAACCCGAGCTCGTTATCCCACTCGAACCCCAGAGCTCACCCTTGCTATACGAGTTGCTGCAGGATAAAGCTGTGCAAAATCTGTGGCTGCCTCTGCTTTAGCATGTTTTTAAGTTCTCATCCAAGAACTCATTTCACAAACTTTCTCCAGTATGTTTATGATCCAAATTCCACGGTTTTCATCTTATATTTTCAGACTTGAATCACAAGTAAACCCACACCTTCCATCACCCTTGGCATGTGAAAGCAAAGCAATGCTTCAGAAGACTCAATGTCAGGAGCAGTGCCTCAGGCCTCCTGCTCGACATTGAATGTCACAGTGCAACCAGAACTCACAGGGGGAAATGAAGACAGACAATGGTGCTGCCAGTACACGCTGCATCTGCAGAGAAGCTGCAGGGACAAGTTGTGTTTACATTTATCAATCCAGTACTGGGAAAAGGTAAAGACTCCAGGACCAGAAGAAAGGGGAGGAAAACTGCCTCTTCAGCTTCATGCTGATCACGCCTGGGCATAGTGACACAGGCACGGCTGGGCAGATAGCTGGGGTGGCCTTTCTATGCCTCCTGAAAGAACATTTAGCTGCTAGATTTTTCTTTAAAAAAAATTCTAGTGCTGGAAACATGCCAAAGACAGCAGCCCGACGATCGAAGGAACTGAGCACTTTTTATAACAAGGAACGAAAAAGGAAATGGGCACTCGTGGTTTGCACAGGGGACGGGCAGCAGCGGCGGCTCGCGCTGTGCGGGTGCTCGGGAGCTCCGCGCCGGGACCGCGGGGGCTGCGGGGACAGAGGGCCGCGGGCTGCACTGGCTTTGGAACCGGGCAGTGACCCAGCGCCCCTCCAGGTAAATCGATGGATCCTGTTCCACGGTGGGAACGTGCACGGAGCCGCCGCCTTCACCGACCCTGCTGCCTTCCCTGGATGCCCGGTTATAGCCGCCTGCTCGCTGTCCATCGCGGCAGCAATGGACACGAACGTGTGCCTGTGAGGGGCGCGGGGGAAGCGCGGGCCGGCGACACCGGCTCCCCCTCACGCCGCGGGCCGGGGACACCGGCTCCCCC